CACGACCTACCTAAGAAGAACTAACCCTTGCACCTTTTTTACTTACCGTTCAAATATAGTTAAATAGCTATCGAGCAAAGCCTGTGTGTTGTAATCATTAATGTTTAAGCTGCTGCCTGTGAGACTCAATTCCATTGCTTTTTATTAAATTTATAGTTCAATTAGTAGCAATAGAGCAAAACTTGTTTCTTACCTAAGTTATACTTTATGGCTTGCCTAGGTTTCTTATCTAAGTTATATTTAATTGCATACCTAGGAAGAGTAGTTCCATGTTAACCTACAATTACCATAGATATAACTGACTAACGAGAAACCCGCGATTCAATATGTGCGATTTTAACCTGCAGTTAACGTATTTTTAACAATCTGCCAAGCAATACTCGGTTCTTTGTGTTCGATTACGAACTACCGAGAGAAAGCTGTTTCCACGCCTTCCTAATTAACATATATCGAACACATATTCAACGGTCCAACTAAGGACAGCTATTTTTATATGATCCCTTTTAACTTACAGTTAACATATATTTAAAAAGCTATCGTGCAAAAGCAGTTGCTATGTGTCCTTATTCAAGTGACATTTAATGTACATTTAACAAGCGGTCGAACAAAATCTGGTTTTATTTAGTTTACAATTACCGTACATTAATAGTTAAATTATTTATTTGAAATAGATGGAATGATGGGCATCCAAGATTAGTCTAAAATGCCAATGAAAAATGCTTTCACATTTCGTTTTCTATAATCGCTTCGTGTTATACGCTATTCACTTAGACAGTCAAACAATAAGCTATGTTTAGTTAGCAGTTTCGATCAAGATTTTTCAGAGCCGATTTTAACTTTCGATGGCGTGACTGAAAGTAATTGATTACGCAGTAAATTTTTGAAAATTTATTCAATTATTTATAGAATGAAGAGGAAACGAAACGAGGCGTAATATAAACATTTTTTTCAAAAATCTACCTAAACCGAAAACAAAGTTCCTAACGATATGTGTAATGTAAAAACCAAATAGAAAAAAATACTAAAAAAAAAAAAAAAAAATTAAATAAAATAAAATGCAACCAAAAGTTCCTAAGCAAAGTGCAAATTTTAAAAGTATAAATAATTAAATAAATAAAAATTAAGAAAAAAAATAAGTAAATAAAATATTATTAGATAATAATTTTTAAGTCAAAAATATTATAAAACATAAATATTTAACAACATATCATCGTTTTATTTAATAAAAATTAAAGAGAAATGCAATCATAACAAAAAATCACTACCCAACCAAATCAAACGGTCTATAAAAATGTAAAAAGAAAAGAAAAAATATTCTAAATAAAAAATACCAAAGCACTAAACTAGTCAAGGTTGTTAAGAGTCTATAAAATATATAGCCACAAATATATCAAAAATAAATACATCGTAAAAAAAAAAAAAATGGAAAAAGTAAAACATATTCGCACACAACTCACCGACACCGATGCGATTCTAAGTGAACTACTCATAGACTAAAAACGGCAAATAAAAAAATATAAAAACAAAAAATAAAGAAAAATACATATGCACACATCAAAAAAGCAACAACAAATCAAAATATATAAAAATCTATTTGCAAAAAAAAAAAAAAAAAAAAAGGAAAAGTCAAGCGCTTGCATACCAAAATGTACATACCTACCTACGAACACATGTGAAATCCATCAAAATAAAATTAAATAAATATGTGCCGGTTCTAAAACTAGTTCAGATATATCTATCTATCTATCTATCTATGCAATAACAACAGCAACAACAACAACAACAACAACAACACCAACAACAAACGACGCCTAGTAAAAAAAAAAAAAAGTTTTCAGAAAAAAGTGTGAAGTTGTTTGTGTTTTTTTTCTTCTTTCTTTTTGGTTTTTTTTTTTTTTTTTGTTTTCCTGATGTCGGCCTGACACCGTGTGCGGCGTAGCAAGTAAAAGTTTTTTAAAGTTTTACAAAAGAAATAAAAGCGCAACAAACCGGAAACGGAAGTGTGTTAAAGTTTTCCTTTTTATTTATTTTTGTGTTTCTTCTTCTTTTTGCTGAGCTCATGCTCATGCATGTTTTTTGTGCAAAAGAATAAAAATACAAATAAATACAAATAGAAGGGGAGAAACAAAAAAAAAAAAACAAAGCAAAAACAAAAAGAAAGGATTTATTTGGAGCAAATAATTGACTAGCAAAACACTTTTGACAAAAAAACAAAAACAACAAAAAAAAAACCAGAAAAAAAGTACATTTTTGACTTAGAAAAGCAAAGAAAAAATAGTTGTAATGTTGAAGTGAAAGTGAAGTTAGCTAAGCAACCGCAAGTTTTTACCGCTTAAATGAAAATGTCTCCATTTTCCGTTTCCCCCACGTCACTGTATAATCGGTTAACGTTTGATGACAATTTAAGTACAAAAATGTCTGCCAAGTCTCAGTTAATTAATCGTAAAACTGAATATCCTCCGTCACCTTCTTTTTTAATGCCGGCTGAATTTTATAAAAATTTATTCGCTACCGCTGTACTACATCAGAAACAGCATCAACAGCAACAACAAAATTCCCATTCCCATTCCCATCCCCATCCCCATCCCCATCATCATCATCATCATCACCATCACCATCATTTACATCAACATTATCAGCAGCAGCAGCAGCAGCAGCAGTATTCAAATCGTAATGATTCGCCAGAGCAGCATTCGACACCGCACACTACCGCGTTATCCGAATCTTCGCATTTCTTTAATGCTAGCACACCTGTTGCTAGCAATGACTCGGTTGTTACACATTTTCCTCGTAATTTATTGTTCACATCTTCGGCAGCCGTAGCAGCTGCTGCTGCTGCCTCGGCAGTTGCGGCAGTTACGGAATCAGCTGCAAAATATTTACATAACACGGCGGAGAAAATAGAGCGAAAGCATGCAAAAAAGGATGATATGGCCACAAACAGTGTAAAAGTGCGTATTCATTGCTGTCGAATACTTTTTACAAAACTCTATGAATGAATGAATGAATGAATGAATGAATGAATAAATATTCGGGCAGTTTATTGAAATTAATAAATTATTTTAATGAACATGTATGTTGTTGTTTTTCTTTTGGATTTTTTTTTTTTTTTATATCGTTCACCTACACTTGGTGGTACAAGCGTCTATTCAGTTTGTACGGATGTGCGTCGGATTCATGGGAGAGACATGGGAGTTATTTTTAGCTATTCATTTATCAATCGATTCCGAATCACTTTTTGCATCGATCTAAGCCTGTCTGTCCATCGGTCTTTTCTATTTTCTTCTATTCAACGTGCGCGAGACATTAAGGTATTTTGATCCAAGGATAAAGTGTATTGAAAATGATACGGAACTGATTGTTTTTTCGATCACTGGCCACATAACGTCTTAATTGGCAAACTCGTTATATGAGTAACTGTTCCGCTATAATCTTTTTACTTGCTTTTCCATATTATAAGCGCTATGAAGAGGAAAAGGTTTACTCTAAGTCTCTCATAATAAGATGATTCAAAAATTCCCCTCTTTGCCGTCTTATACGGTGCAGGAGACGTAAAATTCCTGAGAGTCCGTTTGCTTGCGGGCTTGTCCGTCCATGCGTCCGTTGCTATTTTATCTCTTGCGATGAGACGTAAAATTCTTTAATGCGCTATGTGTTTGTCCGTCCGTCTTTTGCTATTTCATTTCGATATTCTGTCTGATCGTGTGCTTGTTCATCCATCCGATTTGCTATCACTGCTTGTAATGTAAGCGCAAGAATTATGAAAGTAGGCATACATTTTAAGCCATTGGCTATATCATCGACTGTATAATCGATACGAGACACGAGATACACCATCGGATTAACTTTTCCTCCGCGCAAAAACTGGTAAAGTAAAAATTGGGATATATCTGATCCCAATTGGTCAAGTAACATGCCTAATAAACTAATTAATAAAATATTATGCAATTTATATTTGCGGGCTTGAAAACATACCAAAGATGACACCTCTGTAATTTCGAAGGCAACGACCATGATGCCGTGCTGTGTCTTTGCCAATAATCACTTTAGCTTTTTCTATAACAAAGAACTTGAAGTCGAAAGTGCAGCGATTGCTTTGCTTCGCAGTGGAGTTTCTTTAATCGCAAATTTTTTCGCTTCCGTAACTCGTTCTCAGAGCTCAATTCCAGGTCATTCCACAGCTTCTGCATCTTCTCCGGGTTCCTTACATGCAGATGTGGAAAGTGTAACGATTACTTCTCATTTGAGTGAAACTCTTTCTGGCAGAGCTTTCTCTTTGCTGCCTAATTTATTCCAGAGCAAGTCCTTTAACAATTTTTTCTGCTTCTCTGAGTCTGTCAATTAATTTTGGCTTTTTTTAAAATAGGGTCAAGCCGGCAATCTTACTATTACTTCTCGGCTGAGGAAAAACCCGTTTTATAGCCAACTTTGTTCATCTTTCCGATTCATTGTAAGACAAGAGAACCCTTGCCGGAGCTCCTGGTCTACATTTGTATAGTTAGTAACAACTGCTTTCGATTTTTATGAAATAAGATCAAGTTGGCTATTAAACGATTACTTGTCTGTTCCAAATGAAACTTGTTCGGCTGCCCAATATATTCTAAAGCTTCAGGAGCTTCCACAAAGAATTTTCGGCTCTGAGTCCGCTTCTTTACTAACAATCTTTTTAATTTTTTTGAGATAAGATGAACAAAATAGAACATCTTCACCCTCCCTTTTGTTGAATAAAGGTCTGTATTAAATTTTTTAACTAACAACGAGCCCTTACACGTTGTACACGTTGTCGTACACGTTGCTGATCAATTTGTCCGAATAGGTAGGGTAATCGAATTAGTCACAAGTGCTCCTTCTTCGTCTTTCGTTTTCAATCAATTTATTTTCAATCTTCCTTTCTTCGCAATTTACAATCAACACAATTCCGATCAACAAATCTTGACTTATCATATATTTTGCTATAAGTTTCCTTTTATTCTTGCATTTTTCTTTTATTTTTTTTTCAGAAACCTAATAATTATTTATGGTCGAATAACTCGAATCAGCCGGCTATTGAGACAGAAAGCGAATCAAATAATAACTTATCGACAACAATTGGTGAGGCGACATCGTTAGCTATCTCGGCGACATCGGTTGCACCGCCAACTCCACCCGCAGAAAATCATATAAATCTTGATATAACAGCAAAAGCGTATAATTCAACATTAAAATCTAATCTTGAAACCGATGTTATAAAGTTAACGCAACACACTCAACAGCAGCAACAAGAGGAATCATCTCTAAAATCGAAATCGTTATTAAACGACTCTGGTTGCAGTAGTCCGACAAGTAATAATAACAATAATAGCGACACAATGCCAATTAGTGGGGTGCAAGGACAAAATCCTACGCAAGGTTTAGTGCATTGGATGAGTGCCGTTATGGCTGAGCATATGACCGGTCAAACGCATCACGATCCAACGGCGGTCGGAATGCATTATATGTGGAATGGTAATGTGGATGTAAGTAGAAATCTTTTTCAATCATTAATATTTCTATTACGTTGAAGTCTTTGAAAATGCATTTTATTGCTTTGTTGCTTTGGCTTTTATATTCATACTCAATTTGAATTGGACGGAAGGGACGAGTATTTTAAAAATTCATTCGTTTAATAGGATTTCGTTAAACCAAGCGATTCTGACAAGTAAAACTTGGCTTTGGCTTTGTTTAATATCGACTGCGACCGATTAGCAGGGGTTCAATTAATCAATTATCAATCTCGCGCTTAATCATTAATTTTCTAAAAATCTCTTTGCCTTTGATGAGAGGTGGACGATCGAAGCTAATTGATTCATAGCCGCAAATTTATCAAGGAAACGCCGATTAAAAGCGATCAAAAGATGATATAAACCTCAAGCTCTCAAATTGACTTCGATCCGCTTAACGAACACTTAATAATAACTTTGTTATCCATTACAAGTCTTTTCGCGATCACTCAAATAAGATTTCCTTACGTACTACAAACCGTTTAGCGAGCATTTGAAAACCGCATTGCTGCTGCAGATTCAAAATGTCTTAGCGATAAAACGAAATTGGATTCGTAAAAGGAGTTGCGAAGACCATTTCGCAGTTGACCGGAGACCTTGTCATGTTTATCTGTAAAAACTCTTACATTCGATCAGAAAGCTCCCCGCCATCGCATTATCTCGCTCTCTCTCCCTCTCTGTCAGTATTTCCATCTATCATAAACAGATCAAAAATGCTCTGATCATCGATAAGAACCCGACTAATTTGTAAAACACCACTTCACCTACTACCTCACCACTCATTTCAAGTGGGCTAACATGTAGGTGTGAGATAACTATTGACAAATCCATATGATTTTTGTATAGTGCCAATCTTCAAGCGACATATCTGAATTCGAATTCGGCTATTAGTGTACATATAACAATCATTTTAGAATATACAATGTCATGAAAGGGATTGAGTTTTTCCCTCGGTCGTATTATAACAAAAGTAGTAAGTATGGATTCGTTAATAGTGGGGACATCTCAACGGCATCCTACGAACTTACTTGATTATGTATTATGACTGCTCGATAACGAAGTAAGATTTTTTCACGATCAAGTGGACGCTACTTGACGTTAATGAAACATAGTTCGGCGTTGAAAGAATAACGACTTTGTCATATTTTTAGCGGAAATCTCTTTGCGCCTCAAAATCACGTGTCGCAGTTAAACAGAAAGAGATCAAGATCGGCAAGCAATTGTTACGATAGATTAAATATTTATCATCCATTTTTTTAATAGGCTAAGAACTTTCTCACGATTATACGCTAAACTCTTCCTTCCTTTACGATAGATCTCAAAAAAGCTTTCATGGATCATTGCAAAACCATTCGCCATTTTCTTTTCTTCCTTTCAACCGTTTCCTTAACCCCTATTGGATGTATTGAGGCATTCATTGAATATCACTAGGTCAAGCTTTCTTTCTGTAGATATCAAACTATTTGTATGATCAGGTGATGGCTTAAGAAAGAAAATCGAGCTATTGTTGGGAAAGTGAAGATTTTATTTATTTTTTTTTTTGTTTTTTTGTTTGAACAAGTTAAGGACGGAATAAAATATTGATCTTTCCATGGTATCTATCACGATTATTAATTAGTTCCTTAAAGCTTTTATTTGCTTTCAATTTTTAATAAAGATTTTTTCTATAAAATTTTAAAAATCTTTAATCGTTAAAGTATATTGCCTTGTTAGTCAGTATATTGCACGAATAGATTGTATAAGGAGTAAACTAAATAAGACGAAGAGATTGAAAAAGGTTCAAAAACAGAAGAAAAGAAGACAAAAATTAATTAAGTTTCACAGCAAAAAAAAAAAAGAAAAAAAAAAGAAGAAAAAAGTTAAAGTAAAGAAGTCTAAAGCGTGTACTTAACAATTTGACCATCACCACCACCCAACTGCAATCAGCTTTACGAACTGACAATGAATTATAAGAAACTTCCTTTCTTTTCAATTCATTTCATCAACGCAGTAAAGACTTTTTCTAGAAATCATTTGAAATAAGAAAAAAAAAAAAAAAAAAAAAAACAAAAAAAAAAAAAAAAAATTTTAAATTAAAGTATATATAGAGGAAATAAATGATTGGTGTTTTTTTTTTTTTTAAAAAATAATTTTTGGGTAAAAATAAAAAAAAAAAATTTTTAAAAAAAAAAAAAAAAAAAGTATATAAATAAATAAAAGAAACAGAAGAAATCAAAATAAAGTATAATAAAAGTAAAAACAAAAAAAAAAAAAACAAAGAAAAACGAATAAATAAACAAAATAAAAGAGAGTAGAGAAATCTTGCCATCACCTTTAACAACAAGACACATGTAGACAATGCGATATAAACTAAAGACAACGAACCCGTTGGACTTAATTTAACTTTCTTTCAATTTCAAGCCAAGATTTAAACATGATTTACAAGCATATCCCTCTAACATGTAAAAATACATACATACGCATACACTTCAAGCACTAAGCATTAACTTTTCACTGAGCAAAGGATATCTGGCAAAAAACAAAAAAAAAAAAAAATAGTTGTTATGACGATTCATAGACAATGTTTGCACATTTTTCTTTAGAATGCAAGCAGAGAAAGTCATTTAGTGAGAGTATTTGCAACTACATGCAAACCTGTATGTTAGATGGACAATGGACAGTGTCCATCGCACAGGTAGAAGAGGGACGCATCACATCACTCTGGCTAAAAGAAAAAATGTAAACATTGAAAATACTTTTTAGCTTACTTTTTTTCTCTTTCTCATTTTCTTCTTCTTCTTTTTCTTTTTTTTTTAATCTCGTTATTAATAAAGGGTCACCGATTTTCTTTTATTTTCAAATTTTTTCATTAAATTTTTTTTTCCCCAAGACTTTAAAAAAAAAAAAAATTCTACTTTATTGTTGGAAAAGTTTTTTTTCTTTCTTCATCCTTTTGTTCGTCGTATATATATATATATATATATATATATATACATGTATATATACATATAAATTTATATTTTATAATTTACTCTTCGTTGCTTCTAGCCATCACTTAATTTACTTAATTTGCACGTTCGCGCGAAAAATAATGAACCAACATTGTACCTTAGCTTGGAGTATATACGCTTTCATCCAATAGTTTTAACAAAACTTTTTTCCATATATTTTTTTTTTTTTTTATCTTTTCTTTTTCTCCTTTTTTTTTCTCTCGTTTTGTTTTGCTTTTTAGTTGAATTTTTTTAAATACACTTGTCTACGACAACAACTGACCAACAGTAGTAGTTTTAGTAAACAACAAACTTTTAAATTAATAACGCTTTCAAAAAAAAAAAAAAAAATACAAATAAAATAAAGTAAAAAAAAAAATTTGAAAACAAAATGCAAAAATTATAGTAAAACTCTGCTTAAAAGTGTACGAACATCAGCGGAAAAATTTGTTTCCCCATTGCAACAAAGGTTGTTAACGGATAAAAAAGTGCACGAACACAAAACCTAAGTGGTCTACAAGAAGTTTCGAAAGAGATAATACGAGCAAAAAAAAAAAAAAAAAATGGTAAACTATGTGTGCATGTGCTGCCTTGGCGTACGTACGACTGAATTGAATGACTTACTTGTCCTTATTTCCCTACGTCTGATATTCAGATAATGCCATAAAATATAAGTTTTTTTTTTCTTTTTTTTTCCTTTTTTTTTTTTTTTGATGAGAAAACGTCAAAGGCATGATCACTATGCGGCTTTCATTCACTAAAGCTCTTTTCAAAATCCTATGGTATTTGTCCCGGCACAGAACTATCGTTGAGTGTTGCTTTGGAGGAACTATCTAAGCACCGCATCGTCGCTGATTGAATCATTATCCTATGTCTGTTGGCCTTTTCAATTCGATTATTACTGCGCCCTGCAAGCGCAAAAACTTAAATTTTTGAAATAAATAAATTATAATAGAAAAATAAATATAACAAACAAAAACCGGGTAAAAACTTGAGACATGCCCCACTTACGCTTAATCCGAAGAGTTTTTAAAAATAAGGCGTTTTATGTGACATAGTCTTGAAAGTGATCCAATCCGAACCATTTCGTATAGATTACGTCCTCAAGTCAAAACAGGCCGATGGAACAAATTTCATCAAAAACAACGAAAAATTGCATAAAAGAATACAAGATGGACAGGTGGACATATGGATAGACAAGCTTAGATCAACTCAGAACGTAATTCTGAATACTAGGTCAAGTGTTTGCGGTAAGCCTAATATACCAAAAGTGATGCAGGACCTAATCTCGTACGCGATTGTCAGGAGGAATTGCGCCATCTTCGGCATTTAGCAGCAACAATTTGGCAAACATGTTTAGTACACACTCAACTATCTTCGCTGCTTTCAATCACTATTTATGAAAGATTTCAGTTACTTGCCCGATTGGGCGTTTGGGTAGCTTCGTAAGCAAATCTGGCCAGTAATTATCTAAGGCATCTAAAGGTCACTGTCTCATCCTTGTCCAATTCTCTAAAGTTGGCATCGATAAGCCTTACCGTCGACTTACCTACTCATTCACACTGGTAATCGCAAAAGCTGTGGATGATTTCCTTTCTTTGGATAGTCCGTCACCTTTCCATTTAAATCTTCTCAATATTTCTATAAAATTATTTACAATTTATTTATGTGATCTGTGAACTCATTTTTTTTTTTTTTTTAACATGACCGATCACTGACAAAACGGACAAAAGAAAGGAAAGGAAAGCGAAAGAGAAAGAGATGGAAAAATATTGTTCGCAACCTAGTGGATGTGTGCTTCAATCGTTAAGTGTTACGCCTTTATCGACTAAGCACTGACTATATTGACATCACTGAAACGTAAGCAGAATCTGTTGTAGACAACTTTCTTTTCAGATGCTAGAGAGTTATAGGCAGCTAAAAAGTAGTGATCTTAAACCATATATAGCACCGGTCCAGCCTTAATTGTTTATAATTTTTCTAAGATTTGTAAAACTTTCTTAAATC